GCAATACACCTAAGCTGCTGATACAGAAGCGAGTCAGCAGTGCATATAAAGTCGGTGTAGAGGAAAAGAGGACCAAGGGGCTGGGTAAGATTTGAAGACTCTCTAAATCTAGTCTCTTGCTGTCATTATTCCCCTAGTTTTTGTAATGCTCCTCATGATCTCAAATTCATCTTAAAACAGTTTAGCTTTTTGTTATCACTAATGTTTTTTGGCTTCTGTCTATCACAGCAAGAATTAGAAGAACTTGGAATCGGTCTTCTCCTCCACATTCAGGATTCTGAGACTCACCTAGCCACTGTTTAAATATGTGCCTAAATAGAAGCTTGTACACTAATCAATGAGTCCAACAGTGTTCTACAAGATATATATGTACTTGACACCTTGTTGAATTTGTGTACTTACTTAGATACATAAGCTTCCTTCTAACTGATTGTGTAGGGGTTTCCAGAGCATGATTAGGGATGGAAAGAGGTAGAAGAGTTCCTCTGAGATGACAGAAGAGGGGTGGAAGTCCTCTGCAGCATAGGAGATGGTTATATGTGTTGAGCAGTGTGCTGAATTGCCCATTCTGTGAGATTATGTAGTGAAAGACCCCATTGTCCAATGTGACATGCAGGGGAAAGGGGCTTGAGCTGCTGTGGGAACCTTCAGCCTGAACTTCCTGACCTTTGTGCAATTAAAATTTCAGACAGCCTCGCATGTATGTGTGCTTTTGGCACTGCATTCCCTGTGAGGATTGCTGTTCTGATTTTGGGCAAGAGATTTAAAAACTCTGTTGGATAAATAAATGACAATCAGCTGCAGATGCCATTGTGTGACTATCACTCCTCCCTAAAACTGCTGCAAATATGAAACGTCTGTGTAATTTAACAAGTTGCTTATGTTAATAAGGTAATTTGAAAGGTGTTAGGGTGAGGTAAGGGAAAACAAAGCAAAGGATCAGTAAAGTGCTTATGAGCCCAAGTCTGCTTTTCCTTTCATTGGCAATGCAGCCAAGTGCTGCACAAAACATGCGATTGTTGCCCTCTTTAACTCCAGTTTTCCTCTGCAAATTCCAAGCAGGCCTAACACTCTTGAGTGTTAAGGACAGCCCTGTGCACAGGCTGCCCAGCAGCTGCTTTTTCAGTTATACTTTTCAGTCTCTTGTAACTTGTTAATTTCATGCTGTGTATCTGAATATGCTGGATCCCTGTGTGAACTTTCTGTGACTTAGTATTTACAGCACATTAGCTCTCTCAGGCCCCATCTGTGTTTGGACTGGATAAAGCAGCATACCTTAAGTGTGGTATGTTGGAGAGAGACCCGAGCTGGCTGTTAGCTAAACTCAGTCCTGTGTGAGGGAGTTTCATCTTCTCAGTGAGGTCAATTATCCCAGGTGAATTTCCACACTAAGACAGCTCAACTGTTTCTGAGCTAATTTTGGTGTCCGGATGGTGCAAACATGCTCTGCTGGAAAAAAAAGCCTGAACACAGGCTGCCAGCATGCACATGCTTGTAAAATCTGCAGACTTCAACTTTATTAAGTCTAAGGCACTTTCTTAAAGCTCTCGACAGTGTATGAGTGCAGGAATATGCGAGTATGGGGTAAACTATAATTTTCTGCCTCAGCAATGCTAAAGGTTTTAGTGTAAATAGTAAATAATCCCTTTGATTCTGGATAATATAACACATCAGTGCTGCTAAGTCCTTGGAATTCATGTAGGTTTTCATTTCTTTCCCCCAGAGTGAGAATAACCACTCTATCAGGTCACTGGCTTCTCAAAGGGGAATATTTCCAGATGGAAAATGGAATAAGCTCTGCTCAGAGGGAGGCCTCTCTGGTATGGAAAGAATGAATAAATTATGGTAGATATACTCTAGTATTTGGTAACTTTAGTAAATTCCAAGCAAGCTGAGAGCTTTATTCTCCACAGTGCAGGGCAATGTATGCAGTCACTGAGTTCACCTTCACATGCTTTTCCCCCCAATCTCTGTATGAGGCTAGGAAGATTTAAAAAAAAAAAAAAAACTTACAGTTATGAGTCATCCAAATGTCATAATCAAAACCTGATAATAGCACATAATGTCATCTCATGCAAGATATAACCACCACTGGGATGCTGATCTGTGCAGTATTTCAGTTATACACTTTGCTGTTTAAATACATTTTTGTGGCTCAACACAGATCTGGACAACTCCAATTCAAAATCCAGAAAATCTACATAATATTTGGGGAAAGAAAAAAAAAGAAAGAAGAAGAAAGTATTAAATCTTACTTGGAGATGGCCGTTGGCATAAAATATGGTTGTTGCCTGGGTCAGGAACATGTGCTTTTGGAGTCAGTCCTCTTGAAGCTGCATTATTCCTAATCTGTCTGTTGTGCATTTTATAGAGCAAAGGAAGTCTTTTGCAAGTAGCTGAAGCACCACCAGCTTAGGGAACTGTAGGACAAGGGAAACGAGTTGTCACCAGATTCTCACATCCTTCTTCCAACCCCATTTTCAGTGCTCTGTACGGCATCTTGATTTTCTTATGGAAGAAGAAACCAGTATCTCCCTGGAATCAAGAGACTTAACTAGTATTTTGGGATCATGTGGAAGAAAGGCAAGTAGTAAAGACACAGACAGTAACAGGAAGTTGAAGTGGTACATAAACCTCAGTTTTCTAAAGAATGATTGTTTCAGATTGGATTTTTCGTAAGCAAATCCACATCATTAGGTAATCCCAGCATAAGCAAGGATGTGTCATATCAGGAGCTCAGTTCAGTTTTATCTGGAACTGAAATTGTTCCTGCTCACTTTCAGTATGGGACACTAACTGTTTGTTAAACAGCCTAGTAAGTTGGAACTGACTCACAGCACAGTGCTGGAAGAGTTCAAGTGGAAATGGAGCTTCAGGGAGAGAAAATGTTAGTTCTCCTTTACAATTAACTAAAGTAAGTTTGAAGGGTCCAGTTCAAGTTCCCAAAGGCTATAGAACAACACTCTGGTTTTGGTTCAAAAGAGAAATGACAATTCTGAGTGATTTGTGGTTGGATTCATTTATCAGGATTTGCTGCATAGCAATCGTATGCTTCTCTCAGGTGTTATAATCACTCACTGAAAGATGTTGGATACTACAAACAGAAGAGCATTACTGACTCATTTTCTGTGTGTCCTCAACAAGGAGTTTTTATTTGATTCCCCACATTTGCAATTCCACAGTCCAGTTTAATGATATTTAAAGCAATTAATAAGGCCTCTGTTACTTAGGAAACTATTGTGTTTTTTTTAAATAGATTTTCCTATTTTATTATTTCTTCTAGCTTTACCATAAATACTTATTTCTCCATGGAGGTCCAACTAATTAACATTTGTGGTAGATTTTTCTCCTTCTATGAGGCTCCATACAGAGGCTCAGGTTTGCTTCTAAACCTCCCAGAAGTTACTCACATGAGTAGTCCCACAGAAAGAAATACACTTGTATGACTAATCTGCTCAGCAGCATACAAGATTTGCTGTCTGGACTAGAATTAAATTACTTTAAAGAGTGCTACACAGGTTGCAGATGGGGTGAATTAAAATTTAGGAGTTTCCAGTGGTAAATGCCACAGTTTGAGAACAAGGCTGTTCTTGCTGTCCAGCTAGACTGAGTCTGGATGCCAATTTTTTTTCTCAGTTTTTTTCCTGTATGAAGAAAATGCAATGTTTTTTAGTGTTTCAAGAAACTGCATATAAGTTTGGACATTTTGTAAGGGTTACAAAACTCTTAGAATCAATACTTGGAAATGTTGCAGGTCTTGTTTCTCCCAGACATTTGCCTACCAGATCTGATGAGCTAGCAAACATGTTGTTGTGTGTATGTTGGCACACGCATTACCTCACCTTAAACTAATTTATAGAATACAGCACCTCTGACATAGTTCCCTGTTACTAACAGCAGTCCTAATCAGTCCCACTCCGAAATATGTGTGATGTTGATGAACTAGAAGTACTGGTAGCTTTTCTCTTGCTTAGGACAGTTGCTCTGGCCCATTTTTCAGCCCTCCATCAATAAACATGTAAGGCAGCTGACTGAAAGAGCGATGACATGAACAGGTGGATCAGTGTTTTTCTTCTGTCGGGAAGAACAAAAACACTGTGAGGCAACTGGAGGGTAGGGGAAGTGATACAAGAAAAAAACAGTTTCCTTCTTAATCAAAGATGTCTGGAGAGAGCCTGTATCAGAACATCATAATATGTATTTACTGCATTTTGAGTCACTAAGGAAGATAGAATTTACTGAGGTAGTGGAGTAATCCTATGGTTACTTAGGAAGATGGGGATACTGGGGCTGGCTCTTGCTATGCCTCCAAGAGAACTGCAAAGAACAGCCAGTGCCACTGTGATTCCTCTGTAATACTTAAGTACCTCAAAATCCCCTCACAATAGGGATATCCAAAGGGCTCCCCCCAGATTGAAGTGAGACTACATGTCTTTATGATTCATTTTGGAATTTGGGAGATCTAGCATCTTCATCATGTATTGTATCTTTCCTAACTATCTGCAGTCTGCAGTGGCTTGCCCTGACAGTCTTATTTTTGCTAAGTATAGTGTAAAAGAACTGTTGGTTATGCACTACTCCTGCACAGGCTGTGGCCACTTTTTCAGCAGGATCCTGAATTTGCCTTGAGACCTAGTTTGGCACCCTTTTAACTGAGGAGAAGGAAGAAAAAACAGAATTGGAGGTCCAAATATAACTATTGTATGATTCTGTGATACTAAGAATTTACAGAGATGTTCTAGGTACCATCAAGAATAATCCTCCATCCATCCATTTCTTCAACTTGTCTCATAACTCACAAAAAGAACTAGGGAAATTAGCTAAAGGATTTCACTTTAAAGAACAGTCAGTGTTTGGAATTGCTTTCCTTAAAAGTTGCCAAAAATATTTTTTCCATTTAATTTGAAATTTCTCACAGTTTCTTCCTTTATTTTTCCAATAAGTGAATGTTGGTTTAAAAAACAATTGAGCGTCCTTTAAAGAAAAGAAAGGAAGAAAATAAGGAGGAAAGTAAAAAGGTGGTCAAGAAAACTTTACAAGATGAAACTTTACAAGAGTTTGCTTTTTCAGTAAATAACTTCAAACTATGAAAATCTCTATAAAAGCCTTTTCTTCATCTCAAAATGTGTTGACATGAAGTGAGATGGATGGCTGCTGTTGCATTGAGTTGTATGCCCCAGAGAAGGAGACTCCAGGCAAGGACATGAGTCCAGTCCAGCCACCACCTCCACCCCACAAAATGGCCTCCTGTTGATGGGTGTATGGGTGGGCATGAAGCACTTTTCTCTTTACCCAGACGTGCCCTGAAAGGGATGCCCTGAAATACCCTGATTTTATTTATGATGAAAAACTGTTAAAAGAAAAGGAAAACATGACTCAGTTCTCGGTTATTTTTGTCACTACGTTAAGGCGGTGTTGTTAGCAGTATCCCAAACACTGCAGCTGGCAGCACGCTGTGCTGAGCTGGACTGCCTTAGACAGAAGAAAATAGGGCTGTTTTCAATCACTGCTGAATTTCTGTGCAAAATCACCCCTTCTCATTGTGTTAAACCCTGTCTTAACCCTCCTGGCTCATGCAAAGGGCAATTACTCTGCTCACATATCATTGCAGCCTACTGCTTGGGTGATTTCTGTGGGGCTGTGTCAGATGCTGGAGTCTTGCAAGGTGACCTCTGCTGGGAGAACACCTCTTGCCGTGCACAGCCTCAGGGAGAGGTGAGGTTTTGCAAACTGGGAAGGGAAGGTGAGGAGCTGGCAATTGGTGATTGGCAGTTGGCCGTTAGCAACTGGCCTCTGGTAACGGGCCACAGAACATTCTAGTGCAGCTGAGGGTAGTGGGCACAGGAAGCAGCTGAGTGAGGGGAGGCCTGGGGCACAGCCCGGCTCCTGAGATGGCCGCTGCGGGGCAGCCTGGATTCCACATAGAACTGGTGGTAAGAGCTATGGGTCCCTTGGGATATTGTGAAGGTGTGAGAGGGGGGTACCCAATCTGTGTTCGTTGGATATGTTTTCCACCTGCTGTAGTATGGCTCCCTTGCACCCTTTTTGAAATTCTCCACTGAGGAATTGATAGAATGGTTTAGTTTGGAAAAGGCCTTTAAAATCATCTTGTTCCAACTCCCTGCTATAGGCAGGGACTCCTCCCCCTAGACCAGGTTGCTCAGAGCCCCATCCAGCCTGGCCTTGAATGCTTCCAGGGAAGGGACATTCACAAGCTCAGTGGACAACCTATTCTGGTGTCTCACCGCCCTCACAGTAAAGTGAGGGCAAAAATCTCTTCCTAATATCTAGTCTAAATCCCACTAAATTCCTTTCCTTTGCTTCCACCCAACCACTCCCATTTGCTTTTTTGCTGGCCTGCCTCACAAATTTCTCTAGTGACTTTCCTGCTCTGTCCCCAGACAGATCAACAGAACAGTCCTGAGGGAACAGAGGACCACTGCACAGCCAGGGCCTCATTTGCTTTTCCTATCTTGTACCATCATGGCAGGCACAAAGCAGTGCACAGTCTCCAAGCTGCTCTGCACCAGGCTGCATGGGTACTTCACATGAGTTAGGTGAAGCTTGGAGTATTTATGTGAGGAGAGAATTCCTGCTCCCTCTGGCTCCTTCTTTTAAACTCTCCGCTGCTTGGTAGTTTTCTCATTTGTCTAACATACCTTTCCTAGAAAGTCTTTCATATCCCCTCTTGCAAAGGAGAATGGGGTGTGTAAGAATGTGGAGCACGCACTACCTGCCTGTGAAAAAGTTTTTTTCATCCCTCAGAATGAGGTAGGAATAGGGTGGACAGTGTGATTTTTGAAAGTAAATAGAGTTAAGTCCGTTTTTCTCAGTGAATAATGTCATCTGAACTGAACTGAAAAAAGAATGTGAAAAAGGTGCAAGAAAAATGATATCTAGTGGAAAGATGAGCATACATCTGCTGTGTACTCTTACAAAATTACATCCTTGTAACAATCTACAACCTCCCTTTACCATCCTTCTGTTTTTATGTTTTTAAAGCATATGGATTTGTTTGCATCCTAAGGGCTGAGGAAATGAGAAGACAGAAGTTTTAAAGTCAAACTTTCCCTTAGGTGTACCTTACTATGCCTAGCTTCTGTGTGTTAAACTAGCTGGAGGTCTCTTCTCTTTGACAAGTAGGACTAAGAAACAAAGAAATCACACCTCTAGGTTTTTCCTTTCCTTACACTACCCTCTCTTATTACCAGAGTCCTATGACAAGCAAATTGCTCTGACTAATAAATTCCATCTCACACTTCATATTAAGAGGTTTGGTGGCTTTTTCCAGGGCCTTAAATTGAATCAGGGGTAAGCCAACAAAGAGATTACAGACATATCAAGAGTTTACTTTGCGTGATTGCCACATATTTGATGCCAGATACAGTATCCTGTTTTCCCTCTACACTTCACTTGGAGATCACATCAAATAAAACTCAACCTCTCAGTTATGTAAAAATTAAGCAAGCAGCCCTCTGGTTTTAAAATTGTTTTTATTTAGCAAGAAATGGGAAACAAAACAAAACAAAACCAACCACACAGGCATTATGCTGAGGAATTAAATGCAATTTGAGAAGAGATCATGATGAAAGGTTTCTTCAGATCTTTTTTGGGTGGTGGTCTCTGAGTCCAAATCATGACAAACAAGACTGGGTGGGAGAGAAGAGGGAAAACCAACTCACAGTGTTCTTTTGACTTAAAAATACTTTGGTTATTTACTGACAGCTTTTCCTCTAAGCTGTGACCTATTTTCACTTGCTGCATGGCATCTAATGAAGCTTATGACTAAAATGAATCCTTTGTCACAGTGAGAAATAAGAGTCCTCATTGGCAGAGGTTAGATTTTAGGATGATTTTCCTTAGACCTTACATTTGGATGGATGCTCAGGTTTCTGCAGTAGCTCCTCATGCCCTCTCCTTGTAAGTCTTTTGATGTCAGTAAGCACAAGTGACTTTTCCCTTCTGGTCTATACAGATCAATGCTAGTCACTGTAGTAGAGTTTCTGCTTATTACCCAGCATTGTTGAGTCCATAAAACCACTCCATCTTTCCTCCTTTACAATGAAGCCCATTGCATTGGATTGCCCATACACGTTATAGACTGACAGTTTGGGTTGGAAGGGACTTTAAGGATCATCCAGTTCCAGCCCTCTGTTTACCTCCCACTAGACCAGGTTGCCCCAGACCCTATCCAGACTGGCCCTGAACACTTAGAGGGATCGGACGTTCACAGCTTTTCTGGGCAACCTGCTCCATTGCCTCACCATCCTCACAGTAAAGAATTTCTTTTTTACAGCTAGTATAAAACTTCCATATTTTACTTTTAAACTGTTCCCTCTTGTCCTATCACTCTCTGCCTGTGTAAAAGGTTGTTCTTCAGACTGAGATTAATTATGCTGCAAGCACTGGTGCATTTGGAAAGTTTAACTGTCCTTAGCTGCACTTTGAAAATAGGAAGACTGTTGCTGAATGCTGTTGCAGCAGATGCTGATAACTGCAATCAGCTCTGGCAAATAAACATGACTGATGCAGGGGGAAAGTGCTGTATGAGCCTGACTTGGAGAAAAATTCTTCCCCTGTCTCCCAGTCAGTTTTCCTGTGAGCATGCGAAGTCACACTGACATGCCCAGGAGATTTACTTGTTTTCTCTTATGCTATACATTCAGAAGTTGTGATCACTATAGTGTGGAGGCTGAAAGTGAGATGCTGAGAAAATTCATCTTTGATAGATGAGAAATGCTTTTATGCATTTTGCCAGTGTTTAGCTCGTGAGCTCTGAAGGCACTGTAACTACTATCATCCATTTTCTATGAATATCAGGCAGAGTACTTCACAAAAGGTTCTGAAGAGTTTTCACGGTCGGGGAAATGTCTGTAGATGCATAAATATGCTCTGTACATTACAAAATAAAAATGAGGCAGATTCTTGCCACAGGATCTCCTAGAGTAGTTCCCAAATGCCCATATTGATTTTCAGCTTGCAGAATTACTTGTACTGGGCAGCTTTTCCAAATGCCTTGAGCCTAGGGGTTTGCTGGGGCCTCAGCTCTTGCTACAGAGCTCTGACCTTTCTCTTACTGTCTGGGTACTGTCAAGGGGCTGCTGCATTGTGAGCCAGGAGAGAAAGGAACAATTTCCCAACCTGGTAATTCCCAGATTTTCAGGGCTCTGAAATAAGTACAAGAACTGGGAAATGAATTTGAAATTTTGTCCATTACACTTTTTTCTGTGATCAGTTGAGACAAATAGGTGGGAGTTGAAACCTTTGTCTGAAAGCAGCACTTGAGTCCCATTTCCAGAAGAAGTTAGGGGCACTGCACACTCCAGAAAAAGGAATAAGATGAGGCAGTGGAGGAGTGGGCAGCTCTCCTCACGGCCTTTGGGAGCTGCACTGTAGAAGTCGTGTGTGCCAAAGCTTTATTTTTCCAGATAAGACCTTCATCTTTAGAACTGTCAAGCAAGCATTAAGTTTGTAACAGGAAAATTGACATTATCTTGCATATGCTTTTATCCATCTCCAGGACAGAAAGATTATTTTCTGGAGTTTAAAACATAGCCCTAGAAGCTTGTAGATTTTATAAGCCTGCACTGTGAAGCAGAGAACAGGCTCTCCAGTGAAAGGCACAGGAACTTGAAGTTTATACGTATGTAGCACTTGCAATAACATCATAAATATTTCATTTCACTTCACACTTGCAGTTCCCAGCACTGTTAGTATAGATGTATTGTCAATCTCCAGCCTCTGAGGAAGGAGAACTTGTCTGGAAACTGGTTCATTCCTTTACTGAAACTGCATTCCTTTTACAACTCTGTAGTGAGATGACTGTATAGCATGGGCCCCTGGTTTCCCTTCTAAGCACATGAAGATTATTTTTGTTATTTCTTTCCTAGCAAAGACACTGGAATCTCTCATCTGACTTTCTGACAAAGTCTCAGTGGAATAGCTCAGTTTCCTTAAATTTGTTGCTCGATAGATATCGAAATAATTTTTGCTGCCAATTTGCTCAGTAATGCAAGATTAGTGGGGCTGTAGCAGCACTGAAAACACCACTGCAAATCAAGAATGTTTTTCCCTTGCAAGGCAATGTCTTATATACACATTAAAATCCCAGTGCGCTTCCTTAATCCTTTTGTGTTTGTGTATGTCCTAACAGTTTTAGAAGTGGTCAGCTATGAAATAAGTCAAAAGATAAACTGAAATGTTTATCTGAGAAATGAACGTGATTTCATACACTAAGTTTCTGTGTCTATCATAATTAAAAGCGAAAACATCTTCTACTTGCATTAAATCTGAAAAAGAGTTAATCTCAAAAAAATTCCGATTTTGCTCTGGAAAGGTTTTAGTATGCCAGTGTGATGATATGTCAGAAGCGGATGGCAAGATCTGTGCTAATGCAGCTGCAGACATCAAGGCTCGTTTTGCATATTTAGAGAGATGTGTGTCCCTGGGACTGCTCCATCATCATCTCCAACAGCTGACTTGACACTTAGTTGAGAGTCCAGCAGCAAGGATTTTTACTGTACCAGCACACATTCTGCATCACATAGTGGCCCAGAAAAGTTAACTGTCATGGTCCAGCCCAGCTACAGTAGTGACACCATGTCTGGTGGTGCTCAACTCGAGCTGAATTTCCATTGGCAAAGCTTAATGGAAATGAAGAGCAGAGATGGTGATGGTTAGACGACTTTTACCTTAAAGCCAAGGGCATGGCTTTAGCTTCACTTCGTACAAGCCCAATAATTCCAAAGTGTTTGAATATCCTTGAATGCATGTTTGGAGACCACAGGGTCAATTGAGTGTATTATTGTATGAGCTCTTTGGTTTGCATCTGTATAATCTTGCAGATTTTCACATTTTGTAGAGTGAAGCCACTCTGCTGCAGCTCTTGGTGAGTACCAAAGCTCTACTGAAGACCAAGAGCTTTTAATGTAGA